GGAAGGATCACTGGAGCCCAGCAGATCGAGGCTGCAGTGGCCGGGAGCGGCCACTGCACTTCAGTCTAGGCGACAGAGTGAGGCTCCAACTCAAAAAAACAAAACAAAACAAAACAAAAAAAGACTGCTGTTGTTTACTTTTTTGGCATATAATATAATAATAATATTAATTATTATTATTATTTTCTTTTTTTGAGACAGGGTCTCACTATGTTGCCCAAATGAGCCTCAAACTCCTGGGCTCAAGTGATCCTCTTGCCTCAGCCTCTCGAGTAGCTGGGACTACAGGCATGTGCCTTTGTGCCTGGCTTCCTTCATACATTTTTACTTGAAGCTTTCCTTAAAATGTTTATTCCTAACCTTACAGTTCAGTGCTCTTACTTATTTCTTCCTCTGGCAACTTTTAGACTGCTTTTATACCTCTCTCAGAAAGAAATATGTGCCGCATAGCAAGGCTTTGCAAAATCCCCTGGCCTTGCTGTTTAATGTTCTCTGGGACCTTTATTATGGAGTTAAACTTTTCTCATTTCCAGCATTAGAGTGAGTTTCACGTTGTATAGGAATAGAAATACTGTAATGCAAATTCTAACCATGTTTCTAAACTGTATGTTTCCAGGTGGTTTGGCTTGTTAGCGAGACATTTAACTACAGTGCAATTGACCGTGCAAAATCAAGAGGCAAAAAGTATGCTTTAGAAAAAGTGCCAAAAGTGGGTAGGAAGTTTCATCGAGTAGGACTCCCTCCTAAGGTGAGTTTCTCTCATAAGCTGTTTGAGGGGCAGTTGGGCACATAGGTCCTGAGCTCCAGGAACCTGGCATTGTGCTGTGAGCTGTGGATCTAATAATGAAATGGTTCTTTCATCTTCCATGAGTTTATAGTAAATAAGTCATTGATTAAATGTAAGTTCAGGAAAATCTGAGAGGACAGAACAGGGATGCTTGACCCAGTGTGGAGTGGTGAGGAATGTTTTCAAAAAGAGATTGCTGGCTGGGTGTGGTGGCTCACGCTTGTAATCCCGGCACCCTTGTGAGGCTGAGGCAGGAGGATTGCTTGAGCTCAGAAGTTGAGACCAGCCCAGGCAATACAGTGAGACCTCATCTCTACAGAAAGTAAAAAAAAATAAAAGAGATTGAATCAAAGGCTTTATAAAGTAATGACTAAAAGTAGGTCTAGAATCAGTTCTAATTCCAGCCTCTCCACGAGTATTAGCTCTGAGACCTTGGACAAATTCCTTACTCTTGAAGCCCTCATTTCTATAAAACAAGGATGGAAAAAACTACCTCATATTGTGAGGATGGAATTAAGAAATTCATGTCGAGAACTTGGTACATAGTAAAGGTTCAGTAAGTGATAGCAGCTATGTTTACTCGCATATTCAATTTCATTTTTTGTCATCACTTTAAAAAAACCTCAGGGGTGATTAGCAGCTAACTAAGTGAGGGTAGGAAGGGTCAAGAAAGGCATTCTAGGAAAAGCTCTTGGATTTATTCATTTTAAATATATTTGGCTGGACGTGGTGGCTCAAGCCCTTAATCCCAGCACTTTGGAAGGCTGAGGCGAGAGGATTACCTGAATTTAGAGGTTCGAGACCTGCCTGGGCACCTTGGCGAGACCTCGTTTCTACAGTAAATAGAATAAAAGAAATTAACTGGGTGTGGTAGTGCGCACCTGTATTTCCAGGTGCTTGGAAGGCTGAGGCGGGAGGATCGCCTGAGCCCAGCAGGTCAAGGCTGCAGTGGCAGTGAGCAAGCCACTGCACTCCGGCCTGGGCAACAGAGTGAGACTCCAACTCAAAAATAAATAAATAAATCGATGAGTAAATACTAGGTCAGGCCCATGAGATGTAGTAATATATATTTGGCCTATGATTTTGTCGCTTTGTTGTGGCTATGCAAATATCTAGATAAAAGAATTTGAAGCCAGGCTCGGTGGCTCAGCCTGTAATCCCGCACTTTGGGAGGTTGAGGTGAGTGGGTTGCCTGAGCCCGCGGGTTCGAGACCCTCCTGGGCAGCGAGACCTCATCTCTACAATAAA